GGTATAATAATTTTTTTGTGTGGAGCTTTCGCCACTCTACTTGGCTTAGCGACCCACTGCCAACTGCGGCCACTGTTGTGGGTCTGGCTACGTAATTGCGTTAAAATAGCAAAATAAAATAGCTATAAATAAAGCCATTGTGCGTTCCACGACGACATTTAGTAACAGCAACAATGCGAGCCATAAATTAACAAAATTGAAAGCCATTTTGCACATTTTGCGCATTTTCGCACAACTCGCAAGCTAATGCGTACCAACACACCTACTATGCATGAGCACATATATCTATCTATATTTGTGCACTCTCATTGGCAGACATGCGCTCGTTTTTATATTCATTACATTGCTGCTTAAAGTGCAGCCATTTTTTTCTTCATTCTCATAAATATGCAATAGAAACTTTTCTCACGTTTTGATTGCCATTTGTGCAGGATGTTTTTGCCCTTTTGTTGCTGCTATTGCTATGCAACGCCATAAATATTTAATGTTTACTTTGCACACAACAGTTTGCAATATTTCTGCACTTTTCTCTACACAAGTCTCTGGCAATTTATCTTGCGTAATATTTTGATACGGTTTGGTGTTTTGCTGAAAATATTGCAATAAGGTTTCACCAAACAGCTGCAATTGAACATAAAATTGTTTTCCGATTGTCTCAATTCAATTGCACCAAATCAGTGCCAAGCCCACAGTAAAAAATGAATTTGATCTTCTCAACTTTTGGTGAAAATGTAACATTGTGAAAAATTTAACAGATTACGATCGAAGCTCTACACTTTAAATTGAAACAACTTGAAAAGATTCGCTGTAAGTCTGCCACTTAAATTCATATTGATGATTCATGCTACTTTTTTCATTGCTTTTGAGTATCAACTTGTACTATATTAATGGGATGAACCTTATATCTTATTTATATATATGTGGGGATTTATTTATGACAATACTATCAAAGGTGTTATTTAATGATAATATGCGAATAGTGCCATGATGTCACACGCCTTAGCTCAGCGATCCAAGACAAAGGTAAGCTAGATGCCTCCTACTCCGCTGATCGCAATGCTCTTCCTTCTCTTTCCTCTCCTATGCTAACATATTTCTGCTTGTTGTCTAGAACAGCGTTTAGTACGCAAAAAGCAAGACTTCAATATTATAGAAAAGTAAGCTTAGGTGCTCTTAAGTATTAAACAACGATAATCTACTTTTATCATTAGATAAATCGCAAATGGGAAGATATCTTTTGAATGAAAGTAATTCCATAATATTAAAATAATTAAGATATTAAACTTCATATGTTAACAAATTACTGCAAGTGGTGTTACCAAAATTCAACTGTAAGTTGCCTCTGTGCCCAGTTTTTCCTAAGTAGGCGTAAGTAAGCAAGAAAATCTACTCAATTTTAACATTCCACGCCTATTCATTTAATTAATTGTAAACATCCCGGCCACTTTGTAATAAAGTTTGTAAGCAAAAAGTTATTAAAAGTTAAGAGTTGAAAAGATCGAACGAATGAATTTTCGGATTTCGTTCTGATAAGCGCTTGTCTTCATATTTTCAAACTATCTACAACCTGCTGCTATTTTAATTTTGATTTGATTTTGTTAGTTTTGCGATTGAATAAGAACTGGCTACAGCTTTAATCATTTATGCGTTCGCTGACTTTCGATTTACATTTAATATTTGATCATAATTGCAGTCTTTATTCAGTAGTTTTCAATGTCTATGTTGCGGTGTGTATTTTCTAATCATTAGCAAAGCTCCATTTGCTGCTCTTTATGACTTGCGATTGCAGAAACGTGCAATACTCATAAGGCAAGCAAACAGAAACCACAAGAACTGCTGCAACCCTCAGTATTAACTGAATCAGGCGGAGTCTAGCGCAGCAACGAGCAACAAATGGTGTAATCATAATCATGATAAAGATGCAACTACGATGGCGATGAGGGCGCTGAGGATGAGGATGCCATTGCCTGTGACCAGAAACCACACGATCCACTTCATTAACTTAATTAAAAATCCTTGTGCCATCGCAAGCAGCGCAAATGGCTGATGAGTGTGTGTGTGTATGTGTGTGTGTGCGTAGAGTGCAGTTGGCAAAATGTAAAAACCGCAAAGCGAGTGAATTGCAGAGAAGAGCAAATAATGTACACACCGACTGAACGCTCAACGCATTCATAACGCTCGCATTTCCAACAGCAACAGCAACAGCAACAACAACAACGAGTCCGCCTTTCTGCCATCCATCCATGCACTTCGCTCACACAGAGCGTAAACTCAATTAAAAACTGTCGAGGACTTTCCGCACTCGCTCATGACAGGACTTGATTATCTTCACACTGTGTGCACAGTGAGCATCAAACACAACCACAGGCACAATCACATGCATATTCCCGCACATCCTTACATCCTTACAAGTAGATCTTGCACACACGTTCCCTCATTTTGCTTAGCAGTTGTCGAGCCATTTTTTCCCATTCAACACTCCTATTTAATGCATTTGTTAGACCTAACTCATCCATGTATGCCAGGCCGTGTGTAAATGGCTGCGGCTTCACAATTTATCGCGACACCAGCGCGAACAGCGTGTTGCCATTACAAGAATTTGAGTGTAATTTGCATTTGAAATGCATTCGCAGATTAGCAGTTGTAATGACATTAATATTTAAAGCCGATTCAGAGCTCTGGTTGCTCTGGTTTTTCATATATGTACTCCTAACAGGATGGTGGTTTTCTGATTTGAAACTGACACTTTTCATAAATGCGAAATTCGAGTAGAATATTTAATGAATTGTTTAAATGCAGAGAAAAGTGTCAAATATCAAATGTCAAGTGAGAAAATGTTTAATAAAGTTTTATGCATTTTATTTTCTTTTCATCACAACGGACAGTACAGATTGTGTCAGAGAACTTGGGGTATGCCATTCATTGTGCATATCAAAGGATTTGAGCTTAAATGTTTTTATTCCGAGTATTTGAAGCGTTGAGAAGGATTTGTCAAAATCCATAAAGCAATTATCAGTACGACACACTTGTGCTTTTTCATTTAAATATTATAAGTAATACCTTGACTGGGATCTAGACAATGTTCAGCAGCATTTCTCAACATTAAATTTCGTTGCTTACTTTAAAAATGTTTTCTTAGCATATCTATATATATCTCAAATGCAAGTAAGTATAGTTCCTATAGATTCCGAGCTCATCAACCCCGATTGTGATCAAATTTTGTGTGAAGTTTCGTGACGAATGAATGTTAGAATAGAATAGAGGAGAAACAGCAGCATGAGAAAGATGCAAAAGCAACAATTCAATATTGAAAGAAGCAAAAAGCCTAAGCTACACACATGTACATCATGATTACGATCATCAGACTAGAGATTAATTTCTCTTTTGTTTTCTCGCCGTGATATTTTTCGAGCGAAACATATTCCTATTTTATAGATCTCCTTCAAATCAGCAGAAGAGCACTTTTTGTTATATTTTTGCAGCAGTATTTGGTTTCGGCTTACCTTTTTGCCTCGGTCGCTATGTACTTAATTTTTGACTTGCCACAAAGATAACAATTTGTCTCTATAAACTCCAACAGTCATCAAATCTGATTACGGAGCCCAACACTCAAAAAAATAGTACGCATACAAATTAATTTGATCGCGATCATAAAATATTAATTGCAGAAGTCGTTTGTGATGCTCAAGAATTCTTAACTCTTCGATTAGTCATAGTCTTACTTAACTTAACTTACCTTATTTTTGCATGGAATTTATAATACTTACTGTATAAAGTACACATAATAATTTAAATTTTTTGTATGTCGATTGGTAGGCCTTAGTATATTTCCTCTGAATACAAAAGTTGGTTGGCTAAGCCAACTAATAATATAGCAAATGAAATTACGATTTCGTCTGCGACTGCTTATATATATTTGCCATTGATATTTATTCATTCTTCAGTATACTTAGATTTTAGGGAAAATAAAAGTGTAAAATCTTTAGAAATACTTTACGAATATAAGCGTTGGTGAAGCAGCATTTATTTTAAGACTTAAATTGTTCCTTCCCGTTGCATTTCCTTACTTAAATGCAACAGACAAAGTTGTTTCCGAAATAGTGAGATTGTTGACTCGGAGCTGGGACAGTAGCCAAGGGCATTACACATCTAAATTTCATTATCCTGTTGTTGTTGTGGACACCGTTGAGTGCACTTGACCATTGTTGGTGATGTTGCTGTTGGGCATTGTACATTGTTGTTGTCAATGTCTCATATGCGGCTAAGCAACTGACACTGACGAAGCGAATGCACCAGTCCACACACAAATATACACACATGGGGCTGGGCCAACAAATTTGTTGCTGACAATTTCTTGTTAACGCCGTGCAAGTTGCGATCGCAAGTGTGTGTGTGTGTTCGTGACGATAAATTTTCAATTTTGCAACTTGTTTGACTTCAAGTGCGGGTGCTTATGCTCATATGTGTGTGTGTCTGTGTGTGTGTGTGTCTATGTGCAGGAAAGTTGCCTTTAACGCTTCCGCATTTTAGCCACACTTCAGTCTCCACTTCCAACCAACATGGCGTATGATTGATGCCAACAACATTAGCGCTAGCTGGCTGCTTGCTTGCCAGCAAACAACTTACATGCAGACATGAAGACGGCAGACATTGCTTATTATATTTGCATAAAAACAAAATCTGGCTCATGCAGCGTAACTAAATATGTGCGTAAGGGGGTGTGCTGGTGTGTGTTTTCGTGCGGCATTAAGTCAAAAGTGGGCGCGTCGTTGTATTTTCCTTGATGACGACACGACGATATTGCCGACTAGAGCTTGTTGCGGTGCGTGTGGCAGACATTGATGGAGTGCTGTATGTATGTATTGTATGTACGTAGGAGTGTGTGTTTGTTTATTGTGCGTGTTTAGTATGCGTGCACACCTACATATGCATGTATTCTTGTGCTTACCTTCCATTATGCGAAAATGCTCTTTAATTATAACTTATCTCTTTCATTGCAGGCAAGCTTTTTCAAGCCTTCGGCACCGACTACGTGCAAAGACAAAAATTAACGTTATAGCACCAGCAACAGCAACAACAAAAACTATAATAGGCTGACATAGAAGGAAGGGTAAGTGTGTCTGGCAGCTATTCATAACACATTAACGTCCTTGGTAATCATGTCAAAGGCGCGCTTTATGTGCTTTAATTATTAATCTCGCTATATTAAAATAATCTTCTGACAGAGCTCGAATCTATTCTATTCATTTTAAAGAAAACTTTGATTTTGAGTATATAAGAAAATTCGTTGAGCATTCCCATTTCCATCAGTTTTAACATGTTTATATACTGTATTTTTGATTTATTTTAGATAGGCCAAGGTTAGTCCATTTTTGAATTCAATATCAAAAATACCTCATCAATATTTGTTCATCTGCGATGTGAATTTAGCTTTCACTTTAAACCCACATGTTACAATTTTAATATTGGTGTATTATTTGAATCCAGAGCTTTGACATAAACAAGTCTAGATAAACGCATATCGATACGCCTAGCCACCAACAGCAGACAGATATTCTAGGAAGATCTCTCAACTTCGAGAAGTCAGTTTTCCCATTTTAATGGGTAATTAAACAACAATTTTTGGCCATCTGCCTGTTTCGCTCTTCACTGAAGGCGATTGAAGTAAATTAACACCAAGTTGCCTAGCGCAATTATTTAAACTGTCTTTTATATTGAAAAGTGGCCCCATCGGTTCCTGTCTGGCGTTTAAGCGCAGCAAAAGCACCTCCGAGATACGATTTTGCCACCTCGATGGCCGCCACGCCGCCGGTCTGTCTCCGTTCGACCGGAACGTGATTTACGCTACACTATTGAAAGTTTTTCAACTCTATAGATAAAGGTTCATTTATTGAGTTTATCGTAATTGTTGGCGAACTTAAACAAGTTTTAAGCATTATGCTTTATCATTTCTTAACTAACTGCTTATCTCGGTTAACGGTAATATATCAAAATATTATCACTCGTTGATTGATTTATATGTCAAAAATCTCCATAGAATTGTTGAATCCTTAAAGAATAGAATAGCTAGGTGATTATTTTCAAGCTAGTATTCCTTCTAAGAGTAGAAAAACAGAAACAAGTGTTGCTTTATATTTAATCCATTAAACATGTTCTGGCTAAAGTACTTACAAAATTGTGATACAAGTATGTTAGTTTAAATGTTGTATTCCAATATTATTTTTTACATTTTCTATTCACTTACAAGTATGTGATTAAATATTGAAAAATACGGAAGAAACAATTAATGATACCCACTAAAAATAATTATAATTTTATAAAGTTGTCCTCAGAATGTGCTGGAGCCGCAATGTTTCACAAAAATGCTAATATTTCTTTCCCAACCAAAAAACAATACCAACAAAAAAAGAGCTTTTATTGCTTGAGTAATTAAAAGTATACTAGGCAACGATTAAATGTTCCTATTGTAACTTTTTCAATTCAATTGTTACAACTTAATGGCTGGCATGTAGAGCTAAAAATTAATTTGTTAATTGCAATCCGTGTTTTTATAAATAAATAACTAATTGCCAAGCAATTAGCACATGAAAGCAGCGATTGTACATTTTCATACAAGTTTCCCTTTAATATTAAATGCCATGCCACAAAAACCTTTTATGGATCGCCTTGTTCCCTTGTGCTTTGTTGAGTTGCAGGCCACATAAAAACTCAATTGAGTGAAAAATTGCACTAAAAATGCACTTTGTGGAGAACGCATTTTTTTCATTCTGCTGCCACAAATATTGCATATTATGTGTGGTGGAGCATTGAATGCCAGCCATGCCAGGGCAACACATCAGAAGATGCAGCAAAGAGTCTGTAGTCTGAGCTAAACATCAATGTATATATCTATTTTGATGAGCAACAAAGGCTTGCAAGGACACACACACACACAAACAGACTTACAAATACATGCTGGCATGCCATATCAGCATGCGATAAGTCAGACATATTGAAAGCTTGAGTGCACTTTGATGTCATGAAGTCATGTGTGTGGTCGGGCTGGTGCCTCACTTTTTGTGCTCTGCAACAAAATTAAATGAAATGTTTTGGCATGTCAAAGTGCAAGTTAAGTAATAGCTGATTGATATCTAAATATACCGAGCGACATACCTATTTGCAAATTGATCACAAATAGGCTGGGGCACACCCCCACCACCCCCCACCACCCTTGCATATTCAAAACATATTATTGGTAACGAGCGTTGCCCGGTGACGCCATCAATGGACCTAGAGTTTCCGCACACATCATCATCCCTAGCGTTATTTGTGATAATGATGATGTCACCCAGTGCGACAAGCAAAAAATTTTGAAACCAATAAATTGTTGGCTGTTAAAACAAAATGAGTGTATGTATGTGCTGTATAAAATATGGAGACGACCCTTCTCGAACAAAAACATGACTTTTAAAGTTAACATTTATTTCACATATCAGCTGGAAAACATAAATTCCCGATTCTTGTTGTGTGTGTGTATGTGTGTGTATGTTTGTGAGCGAAAGAAAAAAGCAAAAATCATCAAAGCCGGCAAAAGAGCCACGAAAGCTGCTATCATAAATAATCAAATAAATTACAATAGCACAAAACATGGCAAGGTTGTTGTTGTTATTATTGGCATTGTTGTTGTCGTACTGACTGGCTGACAAAATAACAGACAATGCGTATGTTTCATTTATTTTTTCTGGTTCAAACGGAAGCGGTAACAAAAACTGTACCGCAATTTATGTAAAATTCAATGCTTTATTACAGCACATTATGCGTCGACATTCACACAGACACGCACACACACACACATCAGCAGCTACAACGACGAACGTGCCGAGGTATACGCACATACATACATATGTAAATCATATCACTCATACGCCCACGTTGCATGGGAAAACATTATAAAAATGAAATACCAATGAAAATGTCAGCCAAGAAACAACAAGCAACAAAGATAAGCAATTCCGCTGAACATGTCTTTACCGTTGTGTGTGCGTGTGTGTGTGTGTGTGTGTATGTATGTTTGGGTGTGTGCCTACACATGTTTTTGCCAAATTTTATTACGCACATTCACATACAAGCAAACGCCAGAGAATCTACACTCTGCAGCAGCAGTGTTGATGTTCTCTCATTTCATAAAAAAATGCTTGCCTACTTATGGGCGCAGCTTCTTTCAACACTCCATACAGTCGGCTGAAAATGCTGTTAATTTATATATTAAATGATCGCTGTATTTAAAATCATGCCTCAAAGAAATGCCAATGCATACTTAAAGTTAGGATCTATATTGTACGCTAGATCAGGCTTAATTCAAATACATAAAGCCAGTTGGTCTGAAGATCCCTACAATATCACATCATACTGCAGTTGTGGAAGCAATATGATTTGGATGAAGTTGTTCTGTGAGCCATACTTTTCTTTACAAAGAAATTGGAGCTGAGTGGTTTGTTGTCAGATAAATCGGAAAACGTAATCACGGATGACCAAATTTAAATGTTTTCAAACAAACAAGCAAACAACAAACAAACGCGGACGAAGATTACTTCTTAGCTCGGTACAGACCTATATTAATTACAAATAAAATTCGGATATCGACAATCCTTTCATATTCTGAGTTTTGTCAAACAATTTTGCCTAATTATATGCACAGTGTTTTCTGATTTTTCACATGAAATAAAGCTATTTATTTGTGTCTATGTAGCATATAATTTTGAATTAAATTAATGCATTGTGCATGGTCCAATAAATAAAACAAAATACATTTTCAAACATATGAACAATAACTTTAAAGAACTAGTTTTACATTTTGTGCTACTCAGTTTGGCAAATAAAAGCACAATTATATATGACATTTTTATTTCATAATGTATAGTAATATATTCCATAACCACAATAAACAGCTTATTAAATGACAATATGGATTCAATTTGATAGTTTATTGACGATATTAAATGCCAATAAAAGACAAATGGCAACGACGCGATCATAACAACTGCCTGCTTGTGCTAGTGAGGTTGTAAATGCAATCGCAATGCATAAACTCTAAGCAAGAAATGCGACCACAACGTGTAATTCTCTCAGTTGTGGTGCATGTTGAACTGCCACATAATTAACTTCTTCTTCTAGTTTCTGATTTGTTTTTTATTTGTTGCTGTTTTTTGAATTTAAAATATCTGCACGCCTACGATTCTTTCATAATTCAATATCCTCTTTAAGCTGCTTTTAAAAGTCGCATTTATATTGTGTGCTTAAACATGTTTGGAATAATTTTTCTATCGCTTCTTCTATTAATCAACATTTATAATTAAGGCCACAAATTACCAAAACTGAAGCTGTCGTAATCCCTTTGCGTGATTTCTAGGCCACAGCGTAGGTAAAGTTCAAGTATACAATAAAAAAAAAATGTACCTGACCCATTCACCGTCTTAACCATCAATCATCATTCACCTCTCCTTCCTGCCGCATTGATGATTTTTTAATGACTGGGGTGCCACTCTAAATAGCTCTCGGTTAACCAGCACTTGGTCAACTGGCTGGCCATAGAAAATGTACATGTCCTATGCCATATTTTATATGAATTGTTGATTGATGGACGCTGGCGTAACTTTGTAGGAAAGTGTAAGAAGCGTTCGCATAAATATATGATTTGAAATCAACGCATGCATTATTTAAAGCCGTGCCAACAAAGTCGCTTGACACATAAACATCAAGTGCGCAGCAAATGCCAAGCATGCACACACCCACACACACATACACATAAATAATAAAACACACACACACACACCCATGTACGCTGTCGGCATTTGGCGAAGGGAGCGATCCTACGCAATGGCAATGGCAAAGGCAGCGACAGCGGCAATTTAAAATTGCTGCCTTTTTAACTCGCATCCATTTACAGCAATTTTGTTTGATTTAAGTGTGCGTGAGTGTGTGTGTGTGTGGTGTGTGTGTGGAGTGCGTATTTGTGTGTCGGGTCGTATTTGGTCGGACGCGTTAGAGTGAAGAGTAAAATTACATCAAGCATACTTGGCAGGCGTACAGATATAAACGAGTATAAGGCAGCAAATTGAAAAGGTTGCACGC